GATAAGGGCCAGGTCCCCGGGGAGGTGGTCCCGGACCCCATGGACATGTCCCTGGCCCAGGCGGAGGCGGCCATCTTGGCTCGGGACCTGCAGCAGCTGCTATTGGACGCGGTGCCGCTGAGCTGCCGGTTGCCCAGGGCAACGCTGCCCAACTACGACAACGTCCCCGGCAACCTGATGCTCAGCTCCCTGGGGCTAACGCTGGGCCAGCGCGTGCTGCTGGACGATATGAAGGTGGGTCTGGGCCCCAGGGGCCCCTAGGGACCCCCAGGGACCCCCAGGGGCCACCAGGGCCCCCAGGGACCACCAGGGCCCCTAGGGACCACCAGGGGCCCCCAGGGACCCCAGGGACCACCAGGGCCCCAAAGGGGCCACCAAGGCCCCCAGGGGCCACCATGGACCCCCTAGGGACCACCAGGGACCACCAGGGGCCACCAGGGCCACCAGGGGCCCCCAGGGACCCCAGGGACCACCAGGGGCCACCCCCCCCCCCAGCAGGAGGGACCAGGGACACTGCTTCTTCAAATTATTTTGCGTAGTTTTTCTACTTCTTTCACTTCTTTTTGTTTATTTTTCTACTTATTTAACTTAATTTTTGTAATTTGTCTGCATATTCCACTTAATTTTCCTATTTTCTACTTCTTACACTTAATTTTTATTGTTTTTCTACTTCTTCCACTTATTTTTCTACTTTTTCACTTAATTTTCCTTTATTTCCATACTTCTTTCACTAAATTATTATTGTTTTTCTACTTTTTCCACTTATTTTTTCTTTATTTTTCTTCTTCTTTCACTTAATTTTTGTAATTTTTCTGCGTATTCCACTTATTTTATTTTATTTTTCTACTTCTTTCACTTCTTTTAAATTGTTTTTCTACTTCTTCCACTTATTTTTGTTTATTTTTATACTTCTTTCACTTATTTTTTTATGGTTTTGCTGCTTTTTCCACTTATTTCTCTTTATTTTTCTACTTCTTAGGCTTATTTTTCTTTATTCTTCTACTTCTTTCACTTCTTTTTCATCGTTTTGCTGCTTCTTTAATATATTTTTTATTTTTTTGCCGCTTTTTCCACTTATTTTTTCATTGTTTTTCTACTTCTTACACTTGTTTTTGGTTGTTTTTCTACCTCTTTCACTTATTTTTTTGTAATTTTTCTGCTTTTTCCACTTATTTTTCTACTTCTTTCACTTATTTTCTTATTGTTTAGTTGCTTCTTCCTCTTATTTCTGGTCCTTTAGCTGCTAACCACCATTAAACCCCCCCCCTTCCATGGCCCCAGCAGGAGGGCCCTGAGCCCCCTTTGGTTTCCCCCCTAACTCTTTAGTTCCACCTCCAGTATATTAACTCAGAGCTCCACCATCACTAGAGCTGGAGAAGTTTCTAGAAGCTTCTTCAGCTTCCTGATCTGGATCAGGACGTGGGATCAGAAGTCCTGTGGAGTGTTGTGGGCTTTCTTGGTCCGGCTGGTGACGCTTTTCTTACTGATTTCTTACCAGGCCAAAGGCGGCAGCCCAGCAGGGGACCCACAGGTTGGTTAGCCGTTAGCCTCCTGTCACATGACCAGCCGCCGGCGTTCACTTATTCATTTATTTATTTATTTATTTATTGATTGATTGATTGATTTATTTATCCATCCATCCATCCATGTATTTATTTATTTATTTATTTATTTATTTATTTATTTATTTATTTATTTGTTAATTGATGCATATATCCATTTATGTATTTAGTCATTCATTTATTTGTTTGTTTGTTTATTCATTCATCCGTTTATTTATTTATTTAGTCATTCCTTTATCCATTTATTCATTTATTTATTTTGTCATTTATTTGTTTATTTATTTATTCATTCGTTCATTGATTTATTTATTCATTCATACATGCATCTATCTATTTTAGTCATTCATTTATTTGTTTCATAATTTATTTATTCATTCATCCATTTATTTATTTGTTTGTTTGTTTGTTTGTTTGTTTGTTTATTTATTTATTCATTCATTCATGCATTTATTTTTTTATTTATTTAGTCATTTATTTGTTTGTTTATTTATTCATACATCCATTTATTTATTCATTCACCCATTTATTTATTTATTTACTTCTTCATTCATCCATTTATTTATTTATTTATTCATACATCCATTTATTTATTTATTTGTTTATTTATTTGTTTATTTATTCATTCGTTCATTTATTTATTTATTTAGTCACTTATTTGTTTATTGATTTATTCATTCATTCATTCATCCATGTATTTATTTGTTTGTTTATTGGTTTATTGATTTATTTATAGCCTGGTATGGCAGGTCTTTACAGCAGTTTCCCGTCAGGATGAATGAATCGTTTTGAA